AGAATGGTGATAATGCCATTGATTATTGAATTGAGAACAGTGACATAACGACACATATACCCTCCAAAACCCGAAATTCTTCTGTGAGGACCTCCAGGAAAATCCGAGAAGCCCATTGGGCCAGAACCTTCAATAAATCCCTGCAGGCAAGTAATGGGAAAACAAAATTAAATCCAATAAATACATGAAGTGGCAGCAATATCTACCTCTTCACTATTTTGCTAATCACAATCCAACGAGTACATGAAATGGCAGCAATATCTACTTCTTTATGATTTCGCTAGTCATAATCTAGTTCAGCTACATATTTTGTTCCTTGAGCAAGTACATCATCAACCCATGCAATATCCAATGCAGGTTACAAAAGTTAGCATCAATTACGACTTTATGCAAAAGAAGCATGTGCTAACTGACAAAACTGTTTTTCAACAAAAATCAACATTGCAAGAATTGAAGCATTTGTAAGCTGGTTGATACCTGAGGCCCCCACGGTTTCCTTTCTGACAGATGAGGAGGCATGCCTGGTCTATTATGAACATTGTGCATAAAAATGGGGTGATCATCATGGGGGTGAAAACCACCATGAGGAGGCATTGGTGGGCCACCGCGAGGATCATACTTATGAAATGGTGGGCCTAGATTAGAATACAGTTCTGGAGGAGAGAATTCCCTCCTTCCCATAAATGGTGGGAATGGAGGTGGTTGGTCCAGGAAGGCAGGATTTGAAGGATGGTGAATAGAAGGAAAAGCATCACGAAAGAAATGATGCCGCAACCTAGAGGTTATTTGCAAAAGAGCCTCTTGAACTGCTTCATAATCCCCACCGATCTGTTATATCATTAAGAAAGTTAAACCAATGTGAGCAGCACATACAGATACATAACTTGTGACAATAAGCAAAACCCAAATGCAATCAGAGAAATACCATGGCTCTCGACAGCCATAATAATTAGGTAAATTTTGTAAACAACTAATGATCACAACATAGATGTAGAAGATAAGAGTCTATTATTATTGACTTCAATGAAAAAGAAAAAATACAGGCCATAGTATTTCCAACCAGTGTCCAAATAAAAGAAACCAAAACATACCTGAACAACTTCTTCACCTTCTGAAGCACATTTTGGAATTTGATCCTTCCCCATTATGCGAATATGAGCCCCAGTGGACTTCCTCATTTCAGAAATAATGGAACCACCCTTGCCAAGGAGACAGCCAATTTGATTAGAGGCAACAAGAAGCTTTGCTGTCACAGTCTTGTCCTTACTATCAGGTATTGCCCTGATTATTCTACCCTGTACACGAAGAACTGCATCTTGGGCTGGAGATATTCTGTCATCTGGGTGCTGCAATCATTATACATTGTCATTTTTTTTGGTAAGAGAGAGAGTCAGTTACGTTATATAATTAAATGCGACATAGTAACGACTACTTACATAACCTGGCAAAGATATTCAACTAACAATATTTAAGCAAATAAAAAAACCATATCATACCGCTGGACCAGATATAACAATAACTCGTTCCTCTGAATCAGCAGTACCCTCCACAACTTTAATTTCACAGCCTGTATCTTGCTTAAGTGACCTTATTATTGTTCCTCCTTTCCCAATTACACCTCCAGCCCTCTCATCAGGACATAGCAACCGGAATGTTAAAATTTCCTGAGAAGGCATCATTCTGCCAAGGATACCACCCTCATGAAATTTAGGGATAAGAGGAGGAACAGCTGAAGGAAAATCAGCAATATCACGCGGCCCAGGGACAAAAGGTGCTCCTAGAGAGCCAAATGAATGGTTTGGCCGTCCATACATTTCTTGCCTAGGAAGAAAATGACCAGCAGAATGCCATGAAGGCCCTGTAGGATTCAAAGGAATAGAATCATGATCACGAGGCGGATTCTCCAAGAGTTGATGTGAAACAGATTGAAGAGCTTTCCTAACTGCATCAACTTCCCCCCGTGACCTGAAGTAAATCATGAACGTTTGTGGAAAAATAAATGCAGAAAGTTTAGAAAGAATGTAAAATACAAAAAGCAGACTGCGCTGATATATAAGAACAAATGTTTAATTATATTTAAATTTTGAAGTTCAGTAACTGGAAAAGAAGTTACTTGAACTAGCTCATCACCAGCCAAAGCACATGGAGGAAGTTTGTCCCTAGGAAGAACACGAATCTGGGCTCCACTTTCAGCTGACATTTGCTTAACTACACTGCCACCCCTTCCTAAGATACAGCCAACTTGACTGGAAAGCACAAGTAACCTCAAAACAAATGTTGAAGATTTGTCATTTTCATCATCAGCGCCATCAGTTTCTGGCTCTAATTCAACCATTTTTTCAAAGAGACGTAAAAAAGCCTTCTGAAGGGAGGAAGTTTTCTTCACAGATTTGGGACCTTCTGCAGGATCAAAGCTCTTATCTTCATCATTCTGATCGTGTTCCTTCTTATCATCACCGGCCTTGGTGACATTAGGCTCCTGGCCACCATCCTCCTTGTGCCGCTCAGTACTGGTTTCAGTCTCTGTGTCAGGCCTACCGATGGCAATAACCCTCTCGTCACATCCTGGGACGGTTTCTTCAAGTCTGACTTCTGCACCAGTTTCTTGACTAATTTCCTTCAAGAATGCACCATCTTCTCCAGCAACATTACCAATTCTGGACAAAGAACATAAGACTCGGAATACTGTACCATCGGAAGAGAACTTAAGAGGCTGGTTCTGTGTATGATGTCCCGCTGACTTTTGCAGCTTCCCTTTACCATTCAACTCTGTAAGACTTCGATCAATGGGTCTCTTAGCAGGTGTCAAGGGGGCGGACATGCTAAAAGGATATGGGAAAAACCTGTTCTGCAGAAGTTTTTTTCAACAAATTAGAAAGGCAATCAATGCATAAAGGAAGAAAAGTCAAACTAAACAACAATGGCCAAATATGTCAAATAGCCAATATTCATGATTAAAGAATCTTGAGACAGAATAAGTAACGACTATAAAATGGATATTGAAGAGGTATCAAAGATTCAGCATAAGATTAGAGCTCTTTTGCCAGTTTGCAGCTTTGCTTTCCCCTACATTGTTGATATAATAAAGGCATCCATACAATGGGGTGCCACGTGCAAAATCATCACTTACCTTGCTTGTTTTTTAAAATAATTTCATAATCAGAGTTGCCCAAGATGATCCTTATACAAATAACAGATCTCTTTTCCTGAAAAAAAAAACTGATCTCATAGTTTTAACGGAAAGGCTAGATTTACCCGGTATAATTACTTCATTTTTCTATTGGAAGAATGAATAAATGGTAGTTTTGAAATGGTGACGAATCTTTAACATTATTTTTCTTCTGATATCTAAGCACAAAAATGTTCTACAAGGTGAAGTAACAACATACTAAAATCTCCTCCATTTTACACTATAACAAGTCTAAACCACCTCTATTTCCGCCAACAATCTCTAGTCAACACAAGAAGGAGCCAAAAGACGCACTTAAGAAAAAAACATCAATTGTAGCAAAACCTCGTTCCCACTCCTCATATTCAGATATTCTCTAAAGTTCTTTGTAACTAAATAGACAAAAATTAGAACCTATTTTTCTGTTCCTTTCAAGGGGAGAAAAAAAAGCTCCTTGTGTTCAAAGAAGTGAACCACCATGATATCATTTTCAAGTTTCATCTTGCCCTAACTAAGAGAACCCACATGTTGCCACATCTTATTGAAGGATATCATGTCATAGCCACTAAACGGTGGTAAAAATCTTGCCACTCTCCTCTCTCTACCATTTTCCCTTCAGTATTGAATGTAAACAAAAGTGACAAGAGAGAACTTTCAGATTCCACGAAAAACCACCTACTCCAGTTCAACCCCACCATCCTCCATAATCAGATGCTAATACATTAATGTCTAAGCAAAGCAGGTTCAAGTGAAATCATTCACGCCAGACTGCACAATAGATTTAACTTCCATTTCCCGAGACAAATTCCATGAACAAATTGAGAAAAGCAAACTCCAAACAAAATCGTTCGAACTGAATACATGCTTATATTAGAGTGAAATGCTCGCAGTTGAGAATTCAAGATACTCACAATCTAAACGCCGGCAAATACGCGAGCCACCTTCCAGTTTGGGTGATGACAGCGCTCCCAAGTCCAACCCCAGCGAGAAAACCTGACAGACGAAAGACAGCACGACACTGTCATTTGCTTCCGGTTAGGTTTTATATACGCCG